CATCCGATAAACATTTTGAAATGTGCTGCAATTAATTCAGCATTGGGTGTATCTTGTTCTGGCAACTTTGCAGCCAAATGCAAGATGTTGTTCCCTTTCTTATCTGTTTTCTTAACTACCAAATTTTTCAACAGACCTATGGTGTAAATAATTTTGAAAATGTTATAATGACGATACCTAAAAGCATAAGGAAATGTGGTGTAATTATTTTCGTCAACTTCAAACATCAGATAAGGATATTCGTGGAAAATTATGTCTAGAAAATGGATACCCCACATCTTAGGACGGTCTCAAAAATCGCCACCCATCCAAATGGGGTATTCTTTCGATAAGAGTCCCTCAGAACCATCAAATTAAGCTGCAGTGCATAAACCGTTCTTATGCACTCCAAGTCCCTGATGGTAATTGAGGAATGTGGTTCTTTTCGTAGCCTATGGACTGGAGACCGCGTGGGTTGACCCAACTGTATCAAAGCACAATTGGAAGAGCCTGTCATGTTGGGATCCGAGCTTCATGCGATGATTTCCTTAGAGACCTCGGGGGTTGAATCCTCAAGGATTGTTGAGCCCATGGGCGAATCGAACATCTGATCGATTGTATGACTGCTAGAAGAAGACATGGTTATAGCTCGCTTCAAGGTACATAAAATATAAGCAAACATGTGCTAGAGCTCGAAAAACTCAATGACCAATCCACACTTGTTTTCAATTTAGGCACCTAGAATAGCTCACATCACACAACGAACGCACGCAACCTACCCAGGATTTTGGCAACCGCAGCAATAAACCTTTCCTAAACCCAAGATCGCTGGAGACGCACCCAAAAACCCTATTAAAACCTTAGAACATTCAATGTGGAGACAATAGTGGCCATCATTTGACGCGAAAGTTAGAAAAACGGATAAAAAAAGGGAGAAGAACCTTACCGAAACAAGAGGAGTGTAAGAACTCGCCGGAAAGAGCACCTTGATAATGATGAAATAGCAGCAGAATGCACAAGAACGCCAAAAAACTTTTGTGATTTGAATGAATATTCTGACGACTTCACTAGCTTTTATAGTGGTTTGCATGGGAGACGAAAGGGCCGGGTTCAATTGTAGCTATTGATCTACGGTGAATCTCAACCCTTCATTCGTTGGGCAATCTCAACCCTTAGACATGGCCATGTGTCGACCATCCCCGAGGAGCGACAACCCGTTAGACTATTACACTGGTAACCATCGTTGCACGTTGCCTCGACTTCGCACGTGGACAGTTGTAGTTGCCCACGTGTGACGAAACGTGACTGACAAAGGCGGCCGCATTTAATGCGATATGACCACACAGAAATTACATAATTGCCCTAACTTTTCATATTCTGAATTTGTCAGGTATCGCGGGAAATGAAAATCCAAGTGTGAAATACGTTGACTAGGTATGAGGTTGACCCTTAGAGCTCGACAAAATTTGCATCCAGTGATCCACTGACGATGCTGAGCTTGATCTCAAATCAAGCATTAGTCTTCGAAGCCCGAAATGAGCATCGAACACTATAGGGCAGATGTTGTGTGTGATTTTCCCACCAAGCTTGGGCCACCACAAGGATGTAACTGGAATCGAGATCAATCCGACTCTACTGGTTGTCTGACTCAGCATAATCTCGTCGACATATATATAGCTCGACCCAGCACAAGCTAGTCACAAACAACCCGAATGATAATTCAATCAATTTCTAGATAACTTCAGATCCTAGATATTGCGGGAATGACTAGATCAACATCAATCTCTGCACAATCACAACACCCAATCGCGAGAATATCATCATTGTAGTTCAGATCAATTGTAATTCTTTTATTTTCACTCTTTCCCTTATATAAACCTTGTATATAAACCCCCTCAAATGATGAAAATGTGTTACAAAATTTTGATAGAATTTTTATCGTACGCTCTCACAGCAAATACAAGAACAGGGGACGTATGCTCAAGAGTTTACCTCACTGAACCACTTTAAAAATCACTTTGCCATTTGTTTTATTGCATTTATAATTCACCCATTGCTGATTATCCGTAATCATGCACACATCAATTTTGATCCCGCCAAGGTCAATCAGATCACTCTAGTTAGTGCAGATTTCTTTATCAGCAATTTTTATATAAATTTTATTTCATCTGATTTAAAATGCCACTTTTACATCTAGTTATAGAATTAAAATTTTCATCAAAATATTCTATTGTATTTTTTTTTTTTTTCAAAAGGACTAATAAAGGTATACTATTAGTAGCATTCATCGCAAGAACAACCACTCTTATTTGTAAGATATAGTTCTAATCCTACAAAAATAATATTCTATTGGATAAATGGCCACAAAGATGAGTGTTAAACGTTGGTTATAAGGAATTAACACTCATACTTTTATACAAAATAAGTTCACGCTACAATGATTATTTCAGTTAAAAAAAAAAAAAAAAAAGACCAAAAATGATTATTTCATCTTGTAAATTCATGCTAAAATAAATAATTATTAGTAAAACAATGAGTGACTCGTTTATTGTATTACAACGATATAAATAAGTGAATAATGAAAGCTAAAACATAAATACTCATATTTTAAATAATGCTGCTATGATTTTTTGTGATATTGTGAGTTGTTTCTCTTCTTTTAAAAAACTCTCACCGGGTATATGAGCAATATGCATTACATCTCCAAAGCGAGTCCAAATTTTGTCGAAGAACTTGTAGATAGTTGAAAGACAGCATTTACTCCACAAGAATGGAATCCAAATATCCCATCTTTGAAGACAATATAACATAGTTGACAAAACGCTACCACCATGGCTTCTACTGGAAAGATAAGGTTAATCCAAGCCAAATCAAAAGGCACCCGCCAAGGAAATCTATTTCTTCACATCGGAAGAGATAACGTTATGAGCTTAGTATGGAGAAACAGGACAATAGTAATGCTATAGTAATCTGATATTGCAAAAACTATGAAGGAAGCTCTTCGAACAAAATGTGAGTCCCTGTTTCTCCATTATGCATTGGTATTGTGAAAGCTGCAGCAAAACCACGGTGGCAATAATATTGCCCCCATGATGTTTGCATTTGCAATGTCCTTGGTCCATTTCTCAGCTTCCTTTCTTAACCTCTGTGTTGTTTATTGAATATTGCTTTAGCATTTCCCCTTTTTAATTTTTAGCTTCACATCCACGGATGCAAAATTCTCTTCACTCTCTACAATATTTGATTTATCAATCAATCAAGGGAAAGAAATATTATTTTTCAAAAAAAGGGTGTTTAATTATATTCACCCTCGAACCACGCATCTCGATGGACATTTTGAAATGTGTTGCAGTTGATTCAGCACCGGTATATCTTCTTGCGCTGGCAACTTGCAGCCCAATGCAAGATGTTGTTTCCCTTTTATCTTTTTTCTTAACTACCAAATTGTTCAACGACCTAGGTGTAAATATTTTGAAAATGTTATAGTGACGATACACTAACAGCATAATGAATATGGTGTAATTATTTTTGTCAACTTCAAACATCAGATCAGGATATTCGTGGGAAAATTATGTCTGAACCGAAGTTTCCTTGTTTTGCAGCCTTGATATTAGCGACCAGGTTTTCTAATATTTTCAAAATTGAGTCATCCAAGCGCATACTCTTTCCAAGGCATTCAACTAGTTCAAAGCTGAATCGGGAATCTCTTCACCTCTACTAAAACAGCAAAAGTTTAGTTAAGCCAACATTAGTTCTAAACAGAAAGTTTGAGGACATGTATTATTATCCATAAACAATTATATTAGTTCTAAACTGATAAAAGAATAGAAGAAGGTTACCCAACAGACAACAAAATTTATATTTATACTATAATTCCTAAATAAATCCAAATTTTTCATCCCAATGTCATTTACTACATCAACTTTTTATTTACATATCAAGAATTATTTATTTAACTCTTTAATACAAGAAGTACCTTTGTTAACTAGAATTTGACTTTAGATTTTCAGTCTAATTTTAAATTGCAAACGGGAATTTTCATTTTCACATATTATTAGGGTGATTCTAGCAGTGCACCCCAAAAAATATCTTAATTTTCACTATTTCAATATCGTATTTGATAAATTAAAATAAAAACCTCGTCATCACACCCCGAACAAAGTTAAATAATTCAGAAAGACAAACATTAACAATACCCCCAATTGACTTTCCATTTGGCCTTCTTAGTCCGATCTCCAGCACATCTTTTCCTTCTCTGTTGCTCCCATCATTTAGCCGATCCCTAAAGCTCATCGGCTCATTCTTCTTCCCCAACACTGAATTTATGACCTTTCTTTCACTTCATTATCCTGCTTTGAATCAACAGAAAGCACCTTTGTTCTTACATACAATTGCTTTGATAATTTACATAATATAAAAGTTTTGTAAGGCAAAGTATAGTTTTCTCATCTTACAAAATAATATATAAAATTTCATAAATTATGGCTTTAGAAGGACAAATTCAAAAATGTTATAATAACAAATATTATCTTACAACTAAAAAATTCAAACTAACCATTTCCAATTAAAAAATTCTTTAAAATTATTTAAATATTATATATTTTTTGGATAACACAAAGAAAAAAAAAATTGATCAAGGCGAAGATGTTAATGATTAGAGAGAACTAACAAAGTAGATCGTTGATTTCCCGCAAAGTCTTACTCAAGCTCAAATCGCCAGTAAGTCTCGTACATGTAATCGTGCCAAGTGGTGCAATACTGTCTCCCCATGTTCACCAGTTATGAGCTTTTTGTGGGTGCCTCTCTACAAAATCCAACGCAACATTTATGAAAAACACAATCACATCATAAATAATATAAAGTGATTCTTTTGGTAATAGATTTGCCTAATCATTTGTCTATTAAGGTAAAATACAATGCTCTTTAAAAATTGACCTTGAGTATGACTTAGGTTTTTGAAATTCATCTAAATAGCCCAAATATAATAATTAAAAACTTACATACAACCATGTGGTACTAAATCAGTCGACAACACAATTTTGACGCGATTCATTATCATCTAATAACTCATCTCGAGTGGCTTCATAAAAGTATTCTACCATCTCTTTGTTTCCCATCACAGCTGCTTGGAGAAGTGGTAAAATGTAATTATCACCTCGGTTCTTTACGACGTCTTCATTCTTCTCCATCATGTCTTTCTCACGGTTCTTTACCAAGTCTTCATTCTTCTCTTTCAAAGCTTTGACGATGTCAACCTCCCCGGATGAAACAGCAAGAAAAAAGGCTGTGTTGCCAGCATTATTTTTTATGGATAAGTCATCTTTGTTCATATGCTCAAGCAACTTTTTCACAAAACCAGTGCGCCTTGCTGCAGCTGCAATGTGTAGAGCTGTGTCTCCTTCCTTTGATAGCTTAGCTGTCATATTAATTTCATGTTTCATGTCAATTCCTTGAAATCTGTCCCAATCACCTTTCAGTGTAGCCCGGTACAGTGCGAAGCGTTTATTCCTCATTCCAATTTCTGTCAAGTTGAAAATATACTAAGTTTATGCTTAATATTTTGTTAAGGATACGCATGCTTCTTGACGTGCAGTAGTCTATTTGGGTGTAACTGTAACCCTGAATAACCTATCAAAATTATATTAGATTAATTCTAATGAAATACAAAGCTTCATTTACTTGAGAAAAAGAGGCCGCCGATACATAAATTTATCCAAGATAAAAATAATAATAATAAAGTAGATCTATTGTGGAAGATTAAATTTGTTTTTCCTTGAAATTCCCACATAGTTACATTGAGATCTAATTGTCCTTCGAAATATCCACATTACACCCTAAGGATTTAAATTAAAAGAAAAAAATTAGAGTTAGCAAAATTTTGAGATAAATCTTATGTTCTTATATAGTAGTGTAGGATATTATTCCTATAAAAATAATGCATTTTAAAAATATAAAATAAAATAATAAACAATCTACAGGATACAGGATACCATCAAATCTTACCGCCATGAGGAGGGGATGCGACAAGCTCAATCCCATTTTCATGTAGCAAATAGTTTTCCTCTATGTCAATCCTCACTTCATGAATAGACATTTTCCCAGTAAACCCGGCAAGGAATTTAAAATATATTTAGATCTAAGTCTAATTTAAATTATAAGCCTACATATTTTCAGTTGAAAAGAGACTTTCAAATTACATTGAAGAAGTGGTTTTGAAAGCTTACCTCTTTTGGAGTATGGCTTGCTATGTATCTTCAGCTTTTAAAAGAAAAAATCGGATGAAAAGCCTAGATAGTTCAGCGAAAGACTGAGGTAACTAGCTTATATATATACACTTCCAAAGACAAGGTGATTATGTTTAAAAATTTTCTCTGGTGGCATGCATTGACCAATTACTCAACTGAAAATTGGTAGTCATTTTTTAATATTGATTGTACAACTCATTTCAAGATATAACACAATTAAATATTATAAGATAGTAATTTAACTAATAATTGTGTTCAGTAATGTTCACATTGAATCAAAGGACAACTGTTCACTGGATAATATTTAAATTTCTTGAAGGAGTTCTTTCAATGTTGGGATTTTAAAACCAATCCTTAACAGCCAGGTGTATGGTAGCAATATTAATTAAGAAAACTCATATTTACTAATGTTCAATTTTTTCTAATATCAATCAAAAATTTTCAATAAAATTTCTGTAGATAAATCCCTAGCTTAGCAAGAGAAACCAAATTTATAAAGTACTCTATAGAAACGATGTTACATGAAATTCAGAGAATTTAAATCGAATACCCAGTGACGGAGCCAATTAAGAACAGGAAGAGAACAATTATTTTAGGGTTTTCAAAAAGATAGAAAAGACACCAGAATAAATATTTATTTATAAGAGGTTAATATATAGATGGGTTTATGTATTATTATTTTGCTTGCATGATTCAAATGACCACTGAAGAAACAATAAATATAGACAACCATAATAATATATATATTTTTATTTCATTTAGCAAGGTAAAAAGAGACAACTCACTTCAGTATTGGCTCGAACAAATATATAGAATTAATATGTCGACTTTCCCAGCATGATGTTGTTGATTAATGATAAGATAAGTGTTGTTACATAGATTAAATTATAAGTTAATTAATATTAAAACATAGTATGAATTAATTATAGAACAATAAATCATGTGGAGTTTTTGTTACAAACGAGGATTACGATCCCCCGATCCTTGGAAATTATCGAGATTTGAGTACTTATAAAAAAATTCCTTGAAGATCATCTAAAGATAATGTGAATTTCAGTTGGGAGAACGACCGTTTCCCTACCAAGGTTTGGAAAACAACACTTTTCCATCCTTTGATGTTCAAAATGACACTTTCCCACTCTTGTTAGACTTTGTTATGTTTTGGTTAATATTTGATTAAAAAAACAAAGATATTCTTAAATATTTGACTTTATAAATTTTTTATTATTTTTTAATTAACCAAAAAGTCAAATAATAAAAAGTCAAAAAAGAAAAAATAGTTAACCCTGACTAAAATATTAAGAGTAATGCTATAAAATTATTTAAAGTTAAATGATTTTAATATTTATTTATAATGTCATCAATATCCTATCACTATTATTTAATAATCTATTAAATTTATAATGTTTTTCATAATATAATATTTTTCATTTTTACTAATTAACATTGGAAATCAATATTTCTAAATAATTAAATAAACAAAAGGAAAAAATAGTATTTTTACATTTGAATTAATAAATAATCAAGTAAAGATTTTAACTTAACTAAAATTTCATTTATAATAAATTAATTAAGAATAAACTATTTAAGAGTATTTTTGTCTTTTTAATTAAATATTAACAAAAAATACTTACAACATCTAATGAAGGGATGGAAAATGATATTTTGAAACTTGAGGGATGGGAAAATGTATTTCGCAAAACCTTAGGTGAAAATGATACAATTTAAAAGGTGCGAGACGGTTGACTTTTCAAGATGCCATGTGCTTTACCATATATGACATATGGCATTCAACAATAAATAATTAATAAAATAAACAAGTATTAAATAATTAATAATTATAGTATAAAATAAGTGTTATTATATAAGATTATAAGTCGGTGTAAAGCACGTAGTATGAACTATTGAATGCCGTTTCTCTATTGACTTGTTTGCAAATGACAATTAGATAAGTAATCACATGGAGTTCTTGTCTTCTCTAAATATTATAGTAAACAATTTATGCTAATTCACAGTTTAAATTTATCGATATAAATAATGCATGTAACATATATAATAATCTTTTATTAATAATACGCTGAATCATACAATTAATTAATACACTGAACATCACCAATTTTACAAATACAAATTTGAATTTATGAATGGTGAGATGGATGTCATGTGCTTATTTCATGGCAATTTTCTTGTTCTTTCTCAATATATGTATTGACGGAGGCTCACATCAGGGAGTTATATGTTATCCTAACGATCTTTTCAATTCATCTGTTAAAAATTAAAACCTTAGGGTGGTCTCATATTTATAATAACTGTTTTAGATTTTGAATCAACATTATCTTGTTCTTTGGTCACAGAACAAAGATGGCGGACCATTAGATTTTATGTGGCCTAACATAAGGGGTTGCTTCCACTTTGCTTCAACTCGATGGCAACTTTTTGTTCTTGTTAACCTTTTTGATCCCAGAGAGCTGTGTTCCTCTCCATACTTCATCTTATTAACCTTTTTTAATTTTGAAGCAACATCTTTATGTATTAGAAAGTACTTTAAATGGGCTAAATATAAATTTTTGAAAATTTATTTTTAATAATATTGTATACTGCAAGGGATATTAAGGTAATATGGTAATTGATAAGATTTACTCACTGCCACATTTAGTTATAGAATTAAAAAGTCAATCATAATATTCTATCGTTTATTTTTTTTTTTTTTTTTTTTTTTTTTTTTAAGGAAAGCCAAATAAGATCAATCTAGTTGGTAAGACATGGTTCTAATAAGACAGTATAAAGCGCCACAATTGGGTAATCTATTTCCGATTTAATAAAACGGAAAAATATAAGTATTACATCTTATATCATTCATGATAAGAAACAATGAGTGCACGTGACTCATTTGTTATATTACATTGATGTAAAATAAGTAAATAATGTCACCAGTTTTTATAGGTATAATGCATCACTTCTCCATAGATAGTCCAAGCTCTACCCTTGTACATGGCGATTGCGAAAATAACCATTACAGTAAGAAGAACAAGCGTCCATCGCAACTTATCTTTGAAGACAATGAACACAGTTGCACTAAACGCTACCATTACTGCTTTTACATAGAGTAGAAGTAAGTGTAATCCCAAAGCCAAATTACCAGGCACCCGATTAAGGAAATTTGCTTCTTCACATTGGGAAGAGATAACAGCTAAGAACACTATTATAGAGAAAGAGGACAATAGCAATGCTATAGTATCTGATATTGTAAAAACTATGAAGGAAGCTCTTCGAACAAAATGTGAAGTCCCTGTATTTTCATCGGTGCCACCTGGTAACGTGAAAAGTGTAGCGAAAACCACAGTGGCAATAAGTGTTGACCCCGTGATGTATGCAGTTGCAATCTTCTTGGTATATTTATCAGCTTTATTCCTCAAATCTTCGTGCTGTTCAGTAAATAAAGCTCTAGGAGTTTTTCCATCTTTATTTTTAGCTTCAGCATACACTGGATGCGTAATTCTCTTCACTTCCTACAGTAGTTATGAAACATTTATCAATCAAGGCAAAAAATATATTTTTTTTTCCAAACAAAAGACGCGGGTAAATTAATATTCACCTCGAACCACCACTTGTCAATTTGCATTTGAATATGTAATGCAGGCGATTCAATATCAGGTATATCTGCTGGTGGCAACTTTGCAGCCAAATGCAAGATATTGTTCCCTTCTTTATCTGTGTCCCGAACTACCATATCCTTAAATCGACCGATGTCATAAATGAAGTAGAAAATGTTAAGGCGACGATACATAACAGCAAAATGAAGTATGGTGTAATGATTTTCATCAACTTCAAACATTAGATCAAGATATGTGCAGAAAATTCTTTTTAGAAACCGAAAGTTTCCTTGTTTTGCAGCCTCGAATATTAGAGACCAAGGTTTTCTAATAATTTCCAAAATTTGGGAGTCATCCAAAAGCATAACTTGTTTCCAAAGATGTTCGACTAGTTCAAAAGCTGAATCGGGAATCTCTTGACCGGTATCTGAGACAAGAAGTTTAGTTAAGCCAACATTAGTTTACAAAAAAATTGAGGATGAAGAAAATATTAGAGAAGCGATTAATTAATCCTAAACCGAAAAAAGAAGAGAGGATTATGGCACATTTCTAATAAAAGATTATCCAGGAGTAATTAAATACCCATTTAATTAATATATAAGATAAAATAGGAACTTGATTTATCTTCTTAATGACACACTAAAAGTGCTCATAGACAATAATTAACTTTTGTTAACTGAAATTAACTCTATATTTTAAGTTACACATGAGAATTTTCATTTGTATTTAATATAGGGATGATTCTAGTAGTGCAACCATAAATACCCACAAAGCAGTTGACGATTCGTCTCATTAATCCGATACCCCCAGCCGAGCCTTTGCTTTCTCTCATTCATCAGTTCATCCCTCTCATTCATTCGATCCCTCAAGCTCAGCTCATTCCTCTCCTTCTCCCGCTTCCTCCCAAACATTGGAGGACATCTCTTTATCACGTCTCTTTTTACTTCATTATCTGCTCTAAAATAAAATGAAATTAAGCACCCTTTTTTCTTACAATTATATATTAATATAATGATTAAAAAACAAAAACTAATTAAAGCAATCTGAAAGTGCTAATGATTAGAGAAAACTAACACGTGTAGATGGCTGAATCTTTGCAAAATCTAATGGAGTTAAAATCTAAAATACGTGTCAATACAGGCATTCGTGCCAAGAGATGCAATGCTGTCTCCTTATTTTTACCACGTGCAAGAGCTCTCTCTGGATGCCTCTTCACCAAATCCAATGCAACATCTAGGAAAACAATGATCAACATCATAAATTATATAATTAATATATGATTAATTGAGGGGTTGTTAAGTTGAATATGTATTAAGTTGTTTACCCCAAGGGCTCAACCGGGTGGTTTAAGCTGACCTACCATGTTCGACTCGTAAGATTAGAGTATGACTTAAGTTTTAACTAGCTAGCCCGAATATACATATTAAAACTAAACTTACCATACAAACCATGGTTTATTAGATTGATGAGCAAGTGGAAGCAATCATTATTATCCAATAACTCATCTCCAGTGGCTTCGTAAAGATATTCTACCATCTCTTTGTCTCCCTCTAGAGCTGGCTTGTGAATCGGTAACATATCATTGTCTCCTCTAATCTTTACTATGTCTTCATTCTTCTCCATCATAGCCTTGACAATTTCAACCCTTTTGGATGCAGCTGCAAGAAAAAAGGCCGTATTGCCAGCATTATTTTTTACGGCTAAATCCTCTTTATTCATTTGTTCAAGCAGCTTTTTCACAAAACCAGTGCGCCTTGCTGCAGCTGCAATATGGACAGCGGTGTCCTAATCCTTTGATAGCTTAACTTGTGTATCAATATTATCTTCCTTGTAAATTCTTTCAGTAGTGTTCCAATCGCCTTCCAATGCAGCCCAGCACAATTTGAAGTGCCTATTTTTTTTTTCAATTTCTGTCAAGTTGAAAAATAAACAATTTTATGCATAAAAATTTTGTTACACATAATAAAAGGGATGCTATAGCCTATAATCAACATAATAAAAAGACTTCTTTGAGAATGAGATAGAATTTTGCAGCAGGCACACTGATTCTTCTTCTATCGTGGAAGAGTCTACCAATACATTCACATTAAACTCTGATGGAAGTTTGATATATAAAAAATTTATTATGTTTACTTTGTAATTCCTCTTGATAATTTCATTGAATAGACCATTATAACGTATTAAAACAAATTTTTTTTCTAAAATCAAGTAACTAAAAAAAAAAAAAAAAGACATTTATGGATAAATTATTAGCCATAAATAAATAAATATATATATATTTAGAATTACAAAAGAAATAATAAATGCAATAAGTGACACCCATATGTGTAGGTGAAGATATCATATCAGGGACATCCTATAAAATAAATAAAATAGTCACATTGTTTGTTATCTAAGTTTTAATGAATGTTTGCATTGTATTATAGAATTATATCTTGTGTGCTAATATGAATCTTCTATGTTTATGTCCTTAAAGAACAAAGAGCCTTAAAGTGACATATCAGTTTCCCCCAAAAATTGGGAAAAAAAAAAAAAAAAATTGGGTATTCTTTGCCTTTGATTTATGACTTTGATAACAAAAAAGAAAAAAAAAGTGTTTACTATTGAGAGATTCAATTTCACACATGATCATCTTAAGATGAGAAAGTCTTCAATACATTTTATTGTAATACAAAAATCCAATGATTCTCTCTCTCTCTCTCTCTCTATATATATATTGATATTGGATTGATGTGATTAATAATCATTGGTTAATTGTATTGTAACATTATGTATATAAGGTTTTCTTATAATACACAGTGAATCAAGAATAAGAGGAATTTGTGAAATTAACCATCAATAAAAATTTAATATCTATTTTTAACCCTCAAACTTCATAAGCACTTCATAATTACATAAAAACAAGAGAGATTAATGGAAAAAAATTAACGCCAACTTAGGAAGTGCATATCACATCTACCCTAAGACACTAAAGGGTATTCAAAAAATGCATTTTACTAAAAAAGAAAAATGCAGCATTAATTGCAATGTCAAATCATACCATCCATTTTTTGATAAGGTGGAGCAATCACAATCTCAACATTTTCTTTTTTTGAGGCGCTTCCTGATGCAGCAACGTAATCCTTCATGATTTATTTTCTCGTTTATTCTTGGTAAATCTACAATGAACTTTATAAGTATTAGATAATAAATTTTGCAGCATAATATGAACCTTGTGTTCTAATTGGATTCAAATTGGGAATGAATAGTAATTAGAATAATAGTCATTCATCTTAAGTACTCCAATATCTTATTTATATGTACCATAATAAGAAAAATCTTAGCTACTGTAATAATTATATATGCACATTGCAGCAAACTGAAAGAACAAAAATAATGAATCTAACTTAAGACTTTACAAATCAAAGAAGAAGAAGAAGAAGAAGTAGTGGGCTGAAAGACTTGCCTCTTTTGGCACCCTGGATACAATCTGCTGCTAGTTAAATTTATATTAAAAAAAAAAAGGCCTGAAGTGAAGAGTAAGAGAACAATATAGGGAAGAAGAAGAAGTGGGTTGAAAGACTTGCCTCTTTTGGCACCTTGGATACAATCTGCAGCTAGTTAAATTTATATTAAAAAAAAGAGTGATGCTATGGGTACTAATGAATGAGTACTAATATGTGTACTAACTAAAGCATAGTACCCGTACTATGCGCATAGTACGGGTACTATGCTTTAGTTAGTACACATATTAGTACTCATCCATTAGTACCCAAAGTATTATTCTTTGTTGAATTAGTAACGGATTACAAATTTTGATGTTGGGCTAAAGCCGAACCTCTCTATTCATTTGTGCGAATAGTACGGGTACTATGCTTTAGTTAGTACACATATTAGTACTCATCCATTAGTACCCAAAGTATTATTCTAAAAAAAAAGGCCTGAAGTGAAGAGTAAGAGAAGAATATAGGGCTCAAATGGCCTAAAGTGAAGAGCTAAGAGAAGAATATAGGGCTCAAATTACCTTAAGTGAAAAGCAAGAGAAGAATATATGGCTCAAATGGCCGGAAGTGAAGAGTAAGAGAAGAATATATGGCTCAAATGGCCTGAAGTGAAGTTTAAGAGAAGAATATATGGCTCAAGGCCTCATAAAGTGAAGGAGATACCAAATGATGATAACATTTCCTAAGAAGAATGTAGGGATTTCTGAGAAGAATGCAGGGATTTCTGCAATTTGTGTCTTCCTAAAGGAGAAATACTATGTCTAATTAAATTCCCATGTGGGATATATTAAAGTTGTTCTATGTTTTTTACCAAACTACTTATCTAATTCTTTCAAGTTTTTTTTGAGAAATATTTCAAGTAGTTATATTTTAGTTTTAGCATTTATATATAGGTGTCAAATATTGGTTTCAATGAAGCAAACTTAATATGAAGTTTATAAGTTGGTTACATGATCAGAGGTTTTACGTGTGAGTGATTGAGCAATTAGATAAAGAGTTGGGATTTGTTTATCATGATTTGATAAATTAAATGAATCTTTGTTCATTACTCAGCATTTCCAATACATAATGAAAAGATTGTTTTGCAGTGAGCTAATACAAGTGATGATTTGAACTAGAAAAAATACTAACATTTACAAGTGACTAATCATATCAGAAAGAAGGGGGAATTAGAGCAGAGGAAACAGGGTGACAGGAACACAAGCAACAATGGCTATTGGAATAGCTATCCATGCAAATTCATTGCTTAGAACAATGAAAAGAGTGGCTCCAAATGCTACCATCATGGTTGCTATAGAGATGAAGAGAGCTGCAAGCCCTATTATCAGCCTGTTTGGTAATGAATGCAAGAAATCTTCTTCTGCATAGCGCGAGGTGAGAATGGAGAGGAACATCAATATTGAAGTGGCAGAGCAAAATAGTGCCAATGCATCCGATATGGCGAAAACCAAAAATGACCCGTGATGTAGAAAAACAGGCTTGCCCATAAGATCGTTATTGCCACCTGATACAGTGAAGGCTGCAGCAAACATCACAGTTGCAATAAGTGTTGCGACAACCATACATGAAGATGCAGTGTCTTTCATCCACTTTTCCCCTTAGCGAACAAGTCTTCTATGCTCCTCCGAAAAAAAAATATGAGGTGTCCTCCCCTCGGAATTTTTGGTTTCTCTATAAGATGGTTGAACAACTTTTTCGACTTCCTGCCAGATCAAAAGGAACAGTCCATCAAGATTCAGACCCAGAAAGAAAATGGTTAATTGGGTTCAGGTTTTGCTCCATTTACATGTTATTTCCAAACAAAGATAATTACAGTGAAGTGCAAGTTTTATAGTTGAAAAGTAATTATTAACCTTGAACCAATGCAACTCTCGTCTAAGTTGCAGAGCTGCATCAGAATCAATTTTGAGTTTATCTGGGTGGGCAAGCTTTCCAGCCAAATGCAACATGTTATTGTTATTTTCATCTTCATAAGCCGCTATCAAATCTTTGAGCTCCAATCTCATGAATCAGATCAAAAATGTTTTCCTGACGATGCAACACTGCAATGTGAAATATGCTTCGACTGTGATCATCTACTTTCCAAATAAGGTCAGGATACTTCTGAATCAGCACTTTTATGAATTCAACATTCCCCAACTCTGCAGCAGTAAACAACAATCTTGAAGGTTTCCGAAGTAGTTCTCCAATTTTGGAGTCATCTAGCAACAACACTTGCTCCCACAGTTGCTTCACCAATTCTAGAGCTTGAAGATGCATCAACTTTTTTGTCAATGGTTGCCCTGAAACGTGGAACTGAATGTGCAGGACGCAATCACCTCTTTGTCCAAAACCTTTTATTTTCTAGAAGGAATAAATAAGCAGATAATGATTAATGCGCAAGAGTAATGGCAGTGAGAAATGGCCAGTAATGGAGTTACTAACAAGAGTAAATGCACCTCTGCCAAATTCCAAGCCGACTTCCACTTACAAATGCTGAAGGCTTCCGTGCCAATACATGAAGACCCGTCTCTGTTCTTCCATCTCGAGCAACAGCTAACTCAGGATGATGATTAATTAAGTCCAATGCCACATCTGTCAAATTAACACAACACAATCATCAATTTGCTCCTCTAGAAGTTATAAAGTTTCATCATGAAAATAGCGAAGGTAAGAGGTGGATACCATAGAGGTCTGCATTGATGACAGCAACAAGAAGCTCAAACGGATCTTCTTCTTTTAGATACTCTTCCTCAGTCACAGAATAAAGATACCAGACCATTTCTCTGTGGCCCAACAAAGCAGCCATACACAACGGCGTTGCTCCCTTACTGCCTCGAATTGATGGCAACCTTCTGTTCTTATTAACCATCACTTCTGCAATCTTTTTTATTCCGGATATGGCAGCAAAACAGAGGGCTGTGTTCCCAACCTTGTTCGGCAGTGCCAGGTCTTCAGCTTTCATAATGTTCACAAGCTCTTGGACAAATATTGTATGTCTAGCTCCAGCAGCAATGTGAAGAGCTGTTTCCTGGTTTCTTGTGATGCTAGCACATACTGCTTGTGGATTCAAAATCAAAAACTCCCTTGCAAACTCTCAATCGCCTTTAAGCGCCGCATTATGCAGAGGAACAAAAGCAGTAAAGTAATTCCTTTGTACATCACCTGCAAAAAAGAAAAAAAACAGCAAGACTATGAGAGCCATGCTGGAGTATTTTTATTTCTCCATCATATAATTTACATAAGTATTAATTGGAGGAAATTGAATGAAATTTGCAACAGCATACCAGTCTCTGCTGCTCGTGTGTTTGGTTCCGCAGAAATAGAGGGCATTTGATTGCTTGAATCTTGAAAGGGCCAAATTGATGGATCTAAAACGACATGGTCATCAAATCCTTTAGGTTCCAGAAAGTCTACTGGGCTTTTTACAGCTTGATGATGTGGTTGAAGATGAAAGTGTTGAATATCAGAGGAAAAATTGAAGGAAGATTCATAATGGCCATGATCAAATGTTGCTGGCCCAAAAGCATCTTTCAGGCTCAAGTCATCGTCAGAAAATATGCCTAAGCTTGCATCATCTTCCCCAGAAGATTTGCAAGAGGAATTTGCAACAGATTTGATCTCAGGGAAACAAGATTGAATTGAAAGTCCCCTCCCATATTGTGATGAAGGAAGGTTGTTCAATATCATTATCTTCAATGAAAAGTACTGCCTGAGAACAAGCAAAATCAGTAGTACAACAAAAAATGTAGTGCTTTATTAGGAATTAGGACATCACCGTTTCTGGTTCTGAGCAGCTCAATCGGATAAAAGACTTTGAACCTCCAAGCAACTACAACCAAGAACAAGATGAATTATAAATCCAAACATGTAGTGCCGTAAAATGATTGGAATGTCAAAAGCAAAAGTTGAAACAAAGAGTAAAGTTATTTTCTTGTGTTTGAAAACTGATGGTTGCGATCTTCTTCCACCAACTTCACTAACGCTGCCTCGTTTTCTTGTGGCTCTTAGTTATTAAAATCTTAAGGAACTGACTTGACCCACGTATGCAATTGGATTGGTCAACGCCTTCACACTAAACTTGATTCATATAATTGAAAAAACTGACACCGCTGACTTCTGAGAAAGTTCGAAACTGGATATTAAGAGATGGGACCGCTTGGCTCTTGGTTCTAGTTCTGCCGTTTGCATTTACTGGAAAAGTCTCTTACGGGGATCTTTCCATTGTCCAACCCGTTGTAGGTATGTAATTCATTGACAATTGAAGTACGTAAGATCTAGCTATTTGCATGTAGCTCGCTTTTATTGCATACTTTATTCTATTAAATCTAATGTTGAATGGTAAAGCACAAAACGGTGTGGCTAGACATTACTTAAACGATGCCATCTCATAATAAAGCTCCAAGATTGATCATGATCGTTGATTGCTTACTAAATCTGACGGCCAAGGTTCTTCAACAATGCAAGTATAAAAGAATACCCTTCAATCAAATTACACAGCCTTTACACACTATGTTTTTGCGATTGAGTTCTTCTTTGTTAGGTTTTCTGATTTCTTGTTTCTCATAGACTTGTAATCTTGTGCAATTGTTGTAATCGTGTTTGGGGGTTGTGCTTCCTTTAAGTTGTAAAGATCTAGGTTAATATTCTCATATAAGAAATGTAACGAATGAGTCTTTGAGAGGATTACAGGAAGTGAGTGATTTGATTGAGTTTAATCTAATTGTATTTATAACGAATCTTGATCTCTAGTGCATTAAGCTCCAAGTTTACTAGAGCTCAACGTGGATGTAGCTTATCCAATTTGAGTAAGTGAACCACGGTAAAAATTCCTGTCTTCTTATTTGATTTTGCAGTTTAATTCTTGATTAATTGCATGAGATTGGGTGTTTCGAGTTTGGGAATCTTTCGATAAACTCAAAAACTAAGGGTGTTCGAGTTTGGGAATCTTTCGATAAACTGGGAATCTTTCGATAAACTCAAAAGCTAAGGATTACAATACTAAGTAAATGCCATCATTGCTGCTATTGATAATAAAAGTGTTGCAAGTCCAGCAACCAGCTTTTTTGGTAACCGTGAGAGGAAATCTTCTTCTGAATACCGGGAAGTTAGAATGGATAAAAAGGTTAAGATGGAGCATGCGGAAGATACTAGCGAAACTGCATCTGCTATAAAAAAAAATTTTGAAGGAAGTTTTTAGAACAAAATGAGGAGTCCCTGTCTCGTCTTTGGTGCCACCTGGGACAGTGAAAGCTGCTGCAAAAACCACAGTGGCAATAAGAGTTGCCACAATCATGCAATAGTTTGCAGTGTCCTTCATCCATTTCTCTCCCTTTTCCTTTAATTCTCCATGCTCCTTAGTAAATAAAGCTCTAGGAGTTTTCCCTTCACTGTTTTTATCCAGGGCATCCAATGGATGCATAACTTTACTGACCTCCTACAAATAGTGTTGTAAAAGATCTTATCAGTTAGCGTGACGAATATCGTTTTATAAACAAAGGAGAACCATAACATTCACCTTAAACCACAGCAACTCTCGCTGCAGTTGCACAGCAGCTCCTGATACGACAATAAGCCGATCTGGTGGTGCCAACATTCCAGCCAAATGCAAGATATTATTGTTTTTTTTATCCTTGGAAGCAACTATCAAATCCTTAAAAGTACCTATCTCATGTATGAGTTTGAAGATGTCCCTATGACGATTCATAACAGCAAAATGAAATATGCTATAATTATTTTCATCAACTTCCAGTATCAAATCAGGATATTCACGTATAAGTATAGTTAGAAACTCAATGTTTCCTAGTTCTGCAGCAACAAATATCAGTTGTCGGGCAGTTTTAATAATATTTGAAATTGCAGTCTCATCTGACAGTATGACTTGTTCCCAAAGGCGTTGGATTAGTTCAAGTGCTTTTGGAGGCAACTTGGTGTTGGTACCTGAAACTACAAATTTGATTAGCCAACATCAGCATACAGAAATCTTTAGGCCGGTTAACAATGACAGAAGTCATTGCAATTCATTCTAAATAAGTAAAAGAACATAGGAGATTTACTACCTAAACAATTCGCAAGGAAAACATTTCCTAGGCAATACTTAACTATATATGTAATGATCAAGTTAAACTAGGGATTTGATTAACACTCCGAGTCACACAATAGAAATGTCCAACAATATAACCTACCATAACCACAACATTACCACTTCATTATGCTATAAAAGAAATCACATTATTGCATAAATGCCATATGGCCAAAATTTTGATTTGTGAAAAGTCTGGAACAAATTCTATATTGCAATAATCAAGATAAATGAGCAGTTTGAAAATATATCATAAAAATCCTTTAGCACCAGAACACACTTGCAAATGATTCCTTGGCAAAAGGTGCTGGTAAGTATAAGAATATATTGTGAAATTATATCAAATCAACTTGCTAAGAAAATATTTAGTAATAGCAGGTTTGCAAAAATGGTTTCTGAAACAAAAGGAAAAATTAAAACTGAAAGGTTAAAGTGCAAATTTTCATATCTGTTCGCGCTCCTAATCACAATTGTCAAGTAAACATATATTTCAACTATAAAACCAAAAACAGTAACTTATATATTAAGGCATGCTGAATATGTCAAAGATTAAAGGAGACTAACACAAATTGACACATTGTTTCCAAAATCCTTGCTGAATTTGAGAGGCAATAGGCGTTCGAGCCAAGCCAAGCAATGCTGTCTCCTCGTTTCCATCACAAGCGACGGCTAACTCTGGGTGTTTCTCTAGCAAATCCAGTGCAACATCTGCAAACACAACAACAGTCATTAGAGATGATGTAGTATCAATTGTAAATAGTGGAAGTATGAAGTTGCTATACATAATACTATATTAATTATGTTTCATAAAAGGAAAATTTTCAGATTTGTATTCACCAAGGCACTTGTGTTATGAAAGGGTTCTTTCATCAGTTTTGTCAAATCATATGTCTCTTGATGGGAATTCACAGCGTTCCTTAAAAGAATAATGGGACATTTGTCAAAAAATATACAAGGGAGGATATATTAATCTGACCACCATACATGGAATTTCAATCCTATACCAAAGGTTTCAATCTTACATTGTAAAATTCAATTTAAAAGATATCAAGTGTACTACAATTAGCCAAAATATAAAGAATACCTTTTACATACCATACAAACCGTTGCTTATTAGAGTGATAAGCAATTCAATGCGGTCATTGTCAAATAATGACTAGTCATCAGTGGCTTCATAAAGGAACTGTACCATCTCTTTATGGCCAAACAAAGCGGCCATGTAAAGTGGTAACATCTCATTTCTACCTCGGCTCATTGCTAAGTTTCTACTCCTTTCCAGGACATCAGCTAAGTCTGTACTCTCCTCTATCATGTTGGGAAGTTCCACCTTCTGGGACTCAACAGAGAGACAATAAGCTGTTTTTCCAGCTCCTTTCTTTGTAGTTAAATCCTCTTTTTTCATCTTATTCATCATCACTTGAGCAAGTTCCACATTTCCAGACACAGCAGCAAGACAAAAAGCTGTATTGCCTGCATAATTTGTAGTAGCTAAATCCTCTTTATTTAAAATATCAACCAGATTTTTCAAAAAATCAGTTTGCTCTGCTGCAGCTGCAATATGGAGAGCAGTGTCCCCTTCCTTAGATATCCTCACTATTATATCATTTTTATGTTTCTTGAAAATACACTCAGCCATGCTCCAATCACCACTTAGTGCAGCTTGATACAATTTTAAGTGTCTAATTCTTGTTTGCTTGTCTGTCAAGTGGAAGCATTTATAACAAGTTTTATCAATAAAACTGTTGATTCTTTAAAATATGCATATAAAAATACACATATAGGCACCAATATCAATCTATATTCAATAGTAGCTAATATCGTGCCTTTGGAAAACAGTTTCTTGCCAAGTTTCCAAAGTGATTGGTAATGAAGCTAAAAGATTTTCCCCACGGTAAACAATCCATCTGAAGAGAAACAATAGCATAGGTATAACACATTGTAAAATCTAAGCATACCAGCCAATTGACCATAAGGTGAAGCAATGACAATTTCAACTTCTTCATTTGAACCATTTCCGGATGCAAAGGTATCCCTCATGATTTCAATAGTTGGCATTTGTTGTAAACCTACAATGAACTTTATACTGTTAGATAACTTGAATTTGATAGATTTCTCTTTTATTACAAAATAATACTTCCATCAAATTTTTAAATAGTAATTGATTTATCAACATTTTAGTTAACATTACCATATAAAATGAATGATGCAGATAATATCATAAGATAAACAAGAGTGTTGCATTAGTTATCATAGCCATAGTATAAAAGAATCGTAAAGCAAGAAGAAGACATTAGATGCATTTCATCAAATAATGCAGAATCTTAGAATTTCATAATGTCATAACTATTTTGATGTTTTAGTATAACTTACAATTATATTAATGTAGTTCTACCACAACTACAGAGTACATAACAATGTAAACTGTGGTGCTTTACATGTTTGAGGTATTGACAATGACCTCCCCTATCGTTTGGGGAAAGTGTCTAATAGATCCAAAAGCTTTTTAATGTAGAAAGGCCTCCCTTCAAGTTCATTAATTAATGAAAAATTGTCATCTTAAATCATCTTAATAGCCCTCAAATTTTTCTTTACATTGTTAATAATTAATAAAAGGCCTTGAAAGGAGGACTCCTAACAATTTAACAACTTTATGGTGCAGCTAAACATTCCTCAAACCTCAGGGAGGTCATTGCAAATTACCTTAGTCTAAACTTTACCTTCTCCCCACTACAAGATATTTCAATCTAGATGATAAAAAGTTTCTGACCTTCATAAACAGACTTTTTTATGAACTGCACATTTTGCACAGGCAAAATTTAAGTGTAAATTACTGAGTTATACGAAAATTTGGACAAATATTAGCATAAATTTAAGGATTACAAGGAAAATTCTACAGAAAATGAAAAAAAAAAAAAAATTGAAACTTTTTTGCCCTTTTGGTAAGACTGATAAGTATCCAAAGCTATTGACAATGGCAGTCCTAAAACAACAAAAATAGAAACTTGACAAAATAAAACAAAAATATACTGGTTTCAAAAAGCTTACCTTTTTTACGGCTTAAGATGCAATCCCTAGCTCGAAATGGGAAAATGAAGAAAGAAAAGCTTCAGGTGAAAAGCAATGAGGAGAATAACGAATCTGAAAGCTGAGAAAGAGTGAAGTAACGTAGTGGCAGAGAAAAGAACAATGGTACACCATCACCACCTCAAACAGAAGTCTCAGCAGCTCTACTCTGTAGCAGCGCTCTCTTATCTGTTGAAACCGAGACCAAGAACTACACAGTAGCTATTCACAGTAGGTTGGAAAAGTGACGCACCTGGCCCGGCCCGGCCCGGCCCGTCGGGTTAGGCTGCGGGCCGGACCGGATTAACCCTCTTTTTTTTTATTTTTTATTTTATTTTGTTTTGTTTAGTTAACTTTTCAAACGAATAATAAACGATTTATAAATGAATAAATATAATTGTTTTTAATTAACTTTTCAAATATCAATAATTAAATTAATTTTTTGTTAACATTTCAAATATTAATTCAATTTTAATACACTAAAATTGTAATATAAGAAAAATTAGATTTATTCATTTATCAAAAAATAAAATAAGAAATTACAACAATTATTGCCTCGTTAAAAACATCACCAGGAAAAACTTAATGGGACAAAAACTTGGTAAAGAAAAAAGAGTGCAATAATTGATAATTAATTTACAATTTACAAAACAACTAATTTGGAGGTGGTTGACTAGGACATCTCTCATCCATATCATCTACATTACAAAATTGAAATGATTCTATTAAAATATCGTCGACAACCTCGTATTGATCTTGATGGCGTGACCATTCCCAATCTCGAAGACATGTGAGGACTTCAATCATTTTTAGAGAAAGTTTAGTCCTCCTTTCATTTAAAATTCTTACACTTGTACTAAATGTTTGTTCGGATGAGACGGTTGCGACAGGAACAGCGAAAACATCCAAGGCAAGTCTTAATAATACCGGAAAAATACATTTTCTGGTTTTCCAATATTCTAAGACATCAAAGTTGGCTCTTTATTGTGGATCTGTTGGTAACATTTCGGGGGTTACCAAATATTGTTGAAGCTCATTACTCTGTGACTGTATGGAAGACAGTATATTAGTTGTTGTTGTTGGTGGTGGTGCTTCTGAAGAGGAGGTTGTGCTTCAGATTCGGGTCCTCTTCGGCCTGTTTAGTGCACTCCAAGAGTAGAAATCTTCATTTGTTTCTTCTGATACAAGTTCCCTAGATATTTAGCCTCTTTGCGGGTTCCCATACCTTATTTCATATTGGAAATATACATTTGCAAGACAATTTTTTACCTCTCCTATTTGATTAGCATATGCTTTGTTTTGTAAATTTTTACTTAAATTGTCTAAACCTGCTAATTTAATTCTAGGATCAAATATAGCACCTAAACAATAAAGAAAAAGAATGGGTTTCCAATATTTTTAAAAAAAAAAAATTCATTGCCTTTATTGGTGCCTTTAAAATTTCATTGTTTTTGTTTTTTGTAAATAACTCGAAATTTTTTATAATTGTATGTATTACCAATGGACTAGTAAGATAATACACACCAGAAAGTTGTAAAGTTGATTGGTAAAAACTTTTAGGAAAAGAATGAAATATTTTAGCTATATACCAATCATTTTCTACCAAATAATGAGGACCTCTATTATTTGCTATAAAATAACTAATTATATTTGCATAAGATAAACATGAATCAAGTATTAAAGAAGTACTATTCCATCTAACAGGTATGTCTAATGCAAAAGTTCTAGGAGACATACTTGATTTTATACAAGCATCTTGAAATTCAGCATTTCTTTTATTACTACTAGTAATCCAAGCTAAAGATTCTCTAATTCTATCAATATTATCTTTAATTGTTTTCATACCACTTTTCACAATTAAATTAATAATATGACATGCACAACGTTGGTGAAAAAACTTTAAATTATTATAAAAAGGATAATTAATTTGAAAAAAATCTATAGTTGTACTATTAGCACTTGCATTATCTAAAGTTAAACTTATCATTTTATTAATAACATCATAATCTTCTAAAACTTCAACAATTTTATTATAAATTTGTTGACCACTATGATCCACATCCATTAATCTAAATCCTAATAAAGATTTATTTAATTTACATTCATTATCAAAATAATTACTAGTCACACAAATATAATCTTGTTTAGCTTTACCACTCCAAATATCGGCAGTTAGAGCTACACTAATATGACAACTATGTATTTTAGTTTTTAATTCTTATTTCATTTTCCCAAATAATTTTATTAAATCATTTCTAGTTGCAGTTTTAGAATAACTTTTAAATTATGGAAAAAATGAATTTTTAATAAATCTTTCAAAATATTTATCTTCAGCCATATTAATAGGTTGATTAGTTGCATCAATATATAAAGCTAATTGTTCCCTATATACATTAGAATTATAATGTCAAGTAGTATTCATATTAGTTATTTGAGTTTGATTGGTTTATCTATTTCCATGTTGAACAATATGTTTATTAGCATGCCTTTTTAAAGTACTAGTATCATTACCTGAATTAGCTTTATAAATATTTCCACAATACTTGCATCTTGCTTTCTTCACTTGAACTCTATTTTCTGCCTCGTAAAACTTATCGAAATGCGCTCAAATGTCTTATATATGTTGGTCGTCGCTTTCGACAGCAATTGATGAACCCGCTTTAGCTTGAGATGAAGTTGGACGAGGACGACTTCTAGAACCACCGGGACCTGTAGCAGCATGGGGAGGAATCGGGGGAATATTATGAGGTGTATCAGATTCTGAGACTGTGAAAGTGGGACTATTTGAATTTACTGCATTTATGTTAGTAAATTTAGGGGAACTAAGATAGTAGTTTCATCATTGGAATTGACGGGATGGAAATATCTATCTATTGTAGTTAAAAAAAAAAAAAAATTGATATAGAAGAAATATAAAAATTAAAGAAGGAGAATTGGAATTTGGAAATATGAATTGAAAATTACAAAAACTAATAAAAATTAAAATGAGAACAATTGAGCAAATTGATAAACAAAGAGAATAATTGAAAGATTTCAATAGTATTAGAGATTAGAGAAAATGAGAGAATTTGAGATGTGAGAAAATATGAAAGTTTAGGGCCTATTTATAGAAAAAAATGGGAAACAAAAATAACGAAAAAGGTCCCTCTAACAGCTATAAAACAGCTATATTTTAAGGGTAAAATGGATATTTGAAAAAAATAATTAATTTTTTATTTTTTTCGGCCAACCCGACAGGTTCTTTCACACAAAATAAAATAATAACCTGCTGGTTGGCGGGTTGCCATAGAACAACCCAACCCACCTGGGAGTTGCATGCGGCTCGCGAGTTGAACCCTCTCTAATGTAGGCTGGGTTAGGGTTGACCTGCGGCCTATTTGTTTCACCTAATCACACAAAGAAAAGGAACGCCCTTTACTAATTAACCCTCTGTTTTCAGTATATTACATCTGTACCACAGAAACTGTAAAGCATGCACGAAAGAATTTTTTTTTTTTTTTCCTTCTACGGTCGACCTTTTTCTCTCTCTGTTTCTAAAACAATAAAATATTCATGTAACTTTTGACTCAGGTGCTGTGCTTGCCTTCTTCACTTGTCATTTGTCAACACTCAGCATTCTTCTTTCACCGTACAAATATGGAAACACTCTGACCGACTCATCAAACTTTTGACTCTCCAAATCGCGCTGCGCATGATCACAACAACATCTCTTCAGATCTACATTTGAGCTTTCATCCTCTGCTCCCATGACCAACGCCGTCAACTTCTCCACCGCTCTTCGCACACCCTCTTCTTCGACCCCTGCTCTCCGCAGATCGACGGCGTTCAAGCGACAAAATCTCAGACCCACTCGCCTATGTCCTTCACTGAGCCCGACACTGACTTCGAGCTTCAGTCCCCGTCAACAGTTCTGCTTTTGGATTAAAACTTGAATTTTGCTATTCAATTCAGTTATCAAAATGGAGGATACCTTTTTCTGAGGGAAATGTTTAGTAAAGTTCGTGGTTTTATTATTATTATTATTATTATTATTAATTGGAATAAAAAGGTTTTAGTTTTAAGAAAAATTGTTATATTTAACAGAGCATGAGCAAGTAGTGGCGGAAAGAAATATACTGAGGGATCAACTGGCTCGGAGAAATGAGGAAATTAAGAAGCTTAAAGCAGTTATTGATTCTGCATTGAAGGATTTGAGCAATGTAGTTACTCGTTTAAAGGAAGTTTCTCCTTCTAATGAAGAAGAAGATGGAAGAAAAATAGCTCAGCAGCCGATATCCTCTGAAGTGAAATCAGCTAACAAATGTGAACCACAAAAAGTTGAGCCAAAAACGCCTGAAGTAAGAGCAACAGGAAAACGCAGAAACGATATATGGGGACGGTCAAGTGGTGATGATTCGTTGCCACCTTCGAAAAGGTCTCATCTCAGCCGGAGCACAGGTTGGTCCTTTCCTTAGTTTTAGATTTTCTCAAGTGCTTGGGGGCTCTCTATGGAGTTTGAAGTCTTTTTGCTATAGAGGATTTTCTCATTGTACTTTTACTTAGTTTAAAGCAATAATGTTGGCTATTATACCTCCCATCAGTTACTTATCGTCGACTCATTGAATAATAAAATCTAAAAGTAGGTTCATAGATAAAAAACACAAACTCATAATATTCATGTCTTTTTCCTCACATTAAAATATAAAACCGAATAAAAAAAAGCATAATTTAACCTTAAAATAAACTAAATTGAAATAAGCAATACACATACTTAAAATAATAAACATAAAACTTAGCTAATTGTTGCACCTTGAATAATGAAGGCTTCAATAATTTCAGTCTTCAAAAGAGCAAATAGTAAAGAGAAAGAGAATGAGAGAATGACAAAGTAAAGAATTATTAACTTGTTTGCAAATGGCAATTAAACAAGTAATCACATGGAGTTTATGTCTTGTTTAAACATATAGTAAACAATTTATGGTAATTCACAGTTTAAATTTATTGATATAAGTAATGCATGTGACATATATACTAATCTTTGATTAATAACAGATGAGCTGTCTTATAATACCACACAA